ATCCGTGAAGTAGGCAACGCAAATGCCAGAACATCGTGTCGGTGCAAGAGTGAAGAGGGGCAGCCCCATCACCGACAAGACTGCAAACGGCAATAAAACCTGTAACGCTCGTCGAAAGCGGAGCCCATGCAGGAGAACATCGGCCAACGAGCGCACAGAACCACACTTGCCGAACCTGAGGTCCAAGTACCGAAAGGTAGGCAGTGTAGCGAGAGACCCACTGGAAACTTCCGGTCAACAGTAGGGGCCGACACCAGCCAGGAGCAGGCCAGGCTGGCGGGGAGACTTTTTAGTCAGCGGCCGCGGGCGAGCGCGCCAGCGGCGAGTCAGGTCAAAGCGGGCTACGCAGAGACTAACTAGGCAGAGGCGGCGCGCAGGGCTACAACTAACGCGGCAAGCCGAGGCCTCACGCAGCGGCCCAGCGGCGGGCGGGTGGCAGGAGGAACTGAAACTGAGTGGAACTGCCAACGTGCAAAGATGCCGGTACGTCGAAGGCGCCGGGAAGTCAGGATATAAACGGCGACCAGGGACAACTCCGAGAAAGAATGCATGATACCGAACCTCGAGCAGCTGCGTGGGCACCAGGGTGGCCGCGGCCAACGAACCGCCAGTCGAGGTGGGAATGAGAAGTGCAATGGCGAGGCCCCGGACGTCGGCGTGAGCGCGAAAACCAGGGTGGTCCGAAGGACCGTCGGCCAAAGAATTGACGCCAGGAGGCTAGCGCATTGGCAGGCTGCAACTCCCAGGGTGGCGGTCGCCGAGAGACCCGAACCTCTGGTGGGGATACGCGAAACGGTTAGAATTGGCAACAAAACGGTTAGGAGCACTAGCACAAACGGCAGAACCAGCCTGGCGTGGTGGGCGAGAGGACCCCAACAGGCAGGTCGGGCGGGCGAGCCCAGACGGCCAGGTCGCGCGGGCGGGTCGCAAAGCGTCAACCCATCATGAAGGAAGTTCTGAACGATAACTTGTGAGGAAGTGCCACGCGAGAGCGCGATTCCTGGATACAGTATAAGAAAGGCCCGCGCAGCAGCGCAAGTCTAAAACACAGTGTGAGGAAGTATCAAGCGGGAACCACTGTTGTTGGACACCAGGGGCCAGTGGCGCAATTTGGTGACCACATACTTTCCATAAAACAACGTGCAAGCCCCGGGAGAAGCACATTAACTGAAAAATGCGTGGTCACAGGAGGGGATCAACAATAATCTTTCTTCAGAAATGAGAGGTCCACAACGACAACAACAGCACCAACAACAATCATGTAATGCTCGCGTTCCACTCAACACGTATGTCTTCAAACCTCGTTGCCCGCCATCTTCGTCTTCGATCGTAGCCCCTTGGGGGCATGTTTTCCGTACATGCCGCGCGCATGTAGCGCAGCCCTCAAAAACAGGGGAGGAGAAGATGGATGGAAGGGGGAGGGAGAAGGATGGAGCACGAAAGAGATTAGCAGGAGGGGTCTGAGAGCAGAAAACACGTGTCAGAATCAGAAGGGCAGATCGGGCGAGCAGACCCTAGTGGACGGGTCGGAAAGACGGGCCTAGGCGGCCAGGTCGAGTAGGCGGGTTGCAGAAGTGTGGGTCTCGCATGAATCGCGAGGCCTTCTCCAGCGATAGCGCGATCCACAACTAAAACGTGAGAAAAGCCAAAGCGCGAGCGCAGCGATAGCGCGATTCCCAATTAAATCGTGGGAAACGCCAAAACGCGAGCGTATTTCCTGAGTGTAAAGGGAGCTGCATCTGAATACATTGCAAGCAAAGAAATCCCATGCGAGAGCGCGACTCCTGAATAACTTGTGAGGAGGTCCCGTGCGAGAGCGCGATTTTGGAATACATTGTTAGGAGGTATCTGGCGGGAGCCGTTGAATATTAATTTCTCCGGAAACGGTTCCGCGCACTCTCGCCCCGATGCCGGGTACATTTTCTTTGAAAACGAAGCTCCCACGCGAGCGTCGGCTTGAGTGTAAATGTATGCCCTTGGAGGCCTCGCTACGACGACAACGGCTCCCGCCCAATACTTTCCCACAGTTTACCCCGAGACACCTTGGCCAGAGAGGCCCCCGAACTCAGGAGGGTGCTCTCGCTCGAGGTTTCCTCGCAATTCAACAAAGTTGGCGGAGGTCCAGCCACGACGACAAGTGCTCCTGCTCGATACTTCCTTACTCCGAGAGCCCCTGGCCACGACGGTCCCCGAATTCAGGAACGGCCCTCTCGCTGGAGACTTGTGCGCGATGCAGTCAAATCGGTGGATGCCCAACTACGGCGACAAGGGCTCTCGCTCGATACTTCCTCACGATGTATTCGCAGAGGCACCTGCCAGAGAGGACCCCGAACTCAAGAGTGGCGCTCTCGCTCGAGACTTCTCGCAATTCAGGCAAATTTGTGGAGGCCTACACACGGCGACAAGGGTTCCTGTTCGATATGTCTCAATATGTATTCCGAGAGCCCCGAGCCAGAGAGGCCCCCGAACTCAGGAACGGCGCTTTCGCTAGGGAGTTCCTCGCATTTCACAGTGGCCGGCAAGGAAGATCTTCCCCCCCGAGAGAGGGGTGCGATCGAAGACGAACTGGGCGGGTACCGAGGGTTGGGGTATACAGAATGCAAGACACGCGTGCAAGCAAGAGCGAACAATAATACCATGATTGCTGTTGTTGTTGATGTGGTTGGTGTTGTTTTTGTTGTTATTTGGGGGTCGACAACAAACTTTCAGCAGGAATATTTTCTTTGTGAAAAACAAGGTGCGAGCCCCAAGGGGGGCACTTCAACTGAAAAACGCAATGTGCACCGGTGAGGGGGATCAACAGCAATGTGCTCTTCAGCGGTGGCATATCAACAACAATCCATTCAAGACTGTCCGCTCGTATCGGCTCGCGTGCTAAGTAACTCGTATATGCCGAATCCTCGCTACCCGCCCTCTTCGTCTCCGACCGCGCCCCCTTGAGGGTTTATCTTCCTCACCTGCCACGTGCATTTAGAGCAGCCCCTAAAGCAAGGGAAGAGAGGACGGATGCAAGGGAAGGATGGAGCACGACAGGGATTAGCAGGAGGGGGACTAAGAACAGAAAGCCTGTGTCAGAACCAGAAGGTCAGATCGGGGCGGGCAGACCCCAGCGGGTGGGTCGGAAAGGCGAGCTAAAGCGGCCAGGTCGAACAGTCGGGTTGCTGAAGCGTGAGCTCCGCATGAACTGCGAGGATTTCTCAAGCGATAGCGCGATTCCTGAGTATCGAGAGCGCGGCGTTTGAATACATTCTGAGAAAGCACCACGCGAGAGCTCGATGTTTGCATACATTGTGAATAACTCCCTCGCAATAATGCGAGCTAGGGAGCCGTTGTTGCTATATTTTGGGGGCCAGCAGCCGAGTTTGAGCAGGAAGGCTTTCCTTTATCATAACCATGGTGCGAACCCAGAGAGGTGGCACTTCAATTGAAAACCACAATGTGCACTGGTGAGGGGATCTACACAAATCATTCTTGAAGACTGAGATCTCAACAAACAGAATCCGCGCCGCGGAATCCGAATTCAGCCACGCACCCAGGGACGGTGTAAGACCGTTCGCCCCCCTCACTCGGATAGTACAAGTATTGCGCGCTGCGCGAAGCCTCACGTAGTATTAGGTGGCGACGTGCGAGCCCAGCCCAGCTGTCCATCGAGTTGCCTGACTCATTGGTCGACGACTGTAGGATTTGGTTTCACCGCGAGCTTTCCTCGTAGCCGACAACAAGCCTCCGTCAACGAGATCTTATCACGATGTGCCAGCCCCTTGAGAACGCGACCCCTTCCCAGTGACCGGCTCCCCGTCCCGAGTCGTTCCTTTATCGGCGACACGCAAGAGTGGCTCTAGGCAAGAGTGACCTTTGGTGCGCGGTTCCAGGGGGACGCGGCAAGGCCAGATCCAGGCGCTTAAGCCAGTGCTGGGGTGGTGGCCCCTTTGGGCTGGCACTAAATATCACCCTGGCGAAGGATCACTCTTGCGCGCTGCATTTGTCGCCAAAGGTCCAGAGGCTCTCCTCTGGAGGTCCCCAGAGGTCCCTAGAGGCCCCCAGGCCCTGATGCTGAGTGCTCGGAAAAATATGGTACCTGCCTTTTCCTTCTCATCCCCCCTCGCTCCCTTTTCCTCCTCATCCCTCCTCATTCCTGCTCAATCCTCCATCCCTTTCGAAGATATCCGTTCCGATCCGTTCCTCTTCCTCTTCCTCCTCCCCCTCCCTCCGCTTCCTCCGTACTCTCTCCTATATTTTTTCATTATTTCCCTCGTCCTCCGCTCCCTTTTCCTCGTCCCCGCTCATTCCCTGTAGTCCTCGCGGCGCCGCGCGTTGGACCGCGTGAGCCCCAACACGCGCGACAGCAGCCGGTGGACTTCCTGGCGTGCACTCCCTCCCTGGTCCATCTGAGCCTCCCGCGCGTCGTCTCTGTGGCCCTCCCATGCAGACCGCGGAGATCTGGCGTCGAGGTCTCCAGTCGTGTTTGTTCACTCTGTAGTATCGTTTGTGTGACGTCGGGCTTCAATGGGGGAACTCATTTATATATTTACAAGATATACGTGTAAATGTCTGTATATATACATATATGTATATACATATATATGTATATATATATGTGTATATATATATATACATATGGGTGTGTGCGTCTGCGTCGAGGACTACCAAATACTCTTGCGCCGTGCTGCCACTTTCAGTTCATCTCAGCCAAGGGCATGTGCCCGGAAAAAGTCCTGAAAATCACCGTCGTCACTCCGGACTGGGAACGAGACTTCTCACATAACGCTCGCGCAGATCCATGCATTCTGAGGTGTCCCCCTCTCCCGAATACGTGCGAAGGAGCGTCCTACATTGAGATGAACGAAACCGTAGCCTCGTCAACAACAACCCCAAAGGTCGTAGCAACCACCGCTCCAACCCGTGCTGGGCTTCCAGACGAGGTTGCTTCCGTGGCCGTCATAACGATGGCGAGCCCGAGCACTGGCAGCGCGTCCTTGAAGGAGAGTGCGTCGAGGCCTTCACGGTTGCACTCCTGAAGGCGCGTCGTGGGGACCCCGAGCGGGCCAGGGGGCACGAGAGCGGGCAAAAGAGGGGGCCTATACTCCATCTCTCGCTGCTGCTGTTCCAGGTCCTCTTCCTCCCTATCCTCCTCCTCCCTCCTCCTCCTCCTCCTCCTCCTCCTCCTCCTCCTCCTCCTCCTCCTCCTCCTCCTCCTCCTCCTCTTCCTCCACCCCCCTCTCCTCCTCCCACTCCCCTCGCGCTTCATTCCGCCGTCTCCTCCTGTTCCTTCCCATTGCTCCACACGGCTGTCCTCAACCTCCGCATCATCATCTTCCTCCTCCTCCTCCTCCTCCTCATGCGCCGGTGCCTTCTGCTTCAATTTTCTTATATATATTTATAAATATATAAATCTCTCTCTCTCTCTCTCTCTATATATATATATCTAACTCCTCAATGTTGTACATAACTCCTCCGTGTCGTACTCGTAGCGTTCGGTACAATAGGCGTTCGAGCATTGCATGCAATCGTGTGCCGCAATCTCATTGCAAACAAATCGCCACACTAAGCCTGCACCCGCCGCAAAACGGGTAGGCCGCTGTGTCGTCTCACGAGAATTCGAGGCCCCAGGTGGGGCCAGAGTAGGCACTGCTGGCTTTTCTGGGTTGCGTACTCTGCTATGTTGCTCTGAATGCGTTGCTCAGCTAGCTCGCGGTACTCGGTTTCTCGTTGGCAGATCCGTTTCTCATACTTGTTGCTTCAATCGGAACGTGTTCGGCTCTTCCACAATGTTGTTCCCGTTTCAACGCTGGCCTCATTGTCGAGCTTCCGCTCGGTTCGAATCCTCCCGCGTGCTGTGTTTTTACACAGAGGATTGGGGGACTGTGTTGTTCATATCTGTTGTTCAATCCGAATGTGTTCGGTTCTTCCGACACGCTGCTCCCGCGGCAGCGTTGGCCTCATTTTCAAACTCCAACCGCCGTCTGCGAGGACGACAACTGGGCCGTCCTCAGGTTGGTTCTCAAGTCAGGGATGAAAAAACTGCATAAACATAAACTTTCGGCGGTCCTCCGCAAATTTCCTGGATCTGCGCTGGCACTCCCTTGCGGCGCTTCCAGCGCCCCCTCTCCGCAATCCTCCTCCCGCGGCCGCGCGTGATCAAACGATCGCAGGAGGACAAATAGAAAATCAGTCCCCGCAAGGCGGCAAAATAAAACGCCAGGGGGGCAAACGATTAAAAAAGCAATTTCCGGCGGTTGACTTCTATTAGCCTGCCCCACTCATTCATTTTGGGCCCCCCGGGACGGGGGGGGGGCATTTTCTTAACCGCTTGCCCCCATGATAGAGTGGGCAGCTGACGGATCATGCCCCGCAAACGGCTTTCCTGCACTTTCCGAGGCTCCAATGGCATCTGGACTCTGGGAACTCCACGCAGTTGGGTCCTTTGTCGAAGCATTCGTCGGCGATGCGATAGCTGCCGTACGTGATATAGACGCAACTTCGAGCGCAAAAGAGAAGCCACCACTAGAAGAATTATCATGACCCGACGAACGCTCCTCATGATATCGCGGCGACTCACCCAGCGCACTCTGGTCGGATGACGCCCCCCGGGTACACTGTGCCAGGATTGCGTTGCCGATGATCGATGAGTGGACGTGTACCGGTCATGATTTTCTGACGAAGCAACGATGGGTGGTTCCCCATTCCCCTCATTAGACTCGTCCATAGGCCTACGCGTGTCGGGTCGTCCCGAGTGGCTATCGCTGTCCGAAATAGATACTGGTGTATTAACGCTAGCGTTCTGTGAAAAGCGTTGTGCCGGAGCTCTGACACTGTCAGGTTCAAGGAAGACGACCTTGGCCGCCCCTTTCATGCCATGTGGTTGCTCGGGAGTCCCGAATATATCATCATCAGTTCCGGGAGGCATTGCCTCCTGGTCTCGTGGAGGAACTTCTGGCTGGCAGCCCATGTTTTGCCGATCCATCGCTAGGTTAAACCAAGGCGTCTTTAAATTCATCGGTTCTCGATGTTCTTGTGCTTGATCTTCTTCTTCTTCTTCTTCTTCATTAGGGTGAGGGGAGGCGGATAGGTCCCGGCGGACTGAAGAGCACATGGCGGGTAGGTCCGTTGAGCGGGCCTACGCACAGCTGTGTAACAGTGTATGTGTGCGTGCCGGCTGGCCGAGAAGAGGCGAGGCCGCGCGCGCGCACGCTTGCTCTGAGCAGGCGATGCAGCTGCGGAGATCAGTCCCTCCGCGTCCGCTCCTGGCTCTGCCAACACCATGTGAAAAGGGAGTGGGCACGGCAGCTTCAATGGGCGAGGGGAGCGTCAGGAATGACTGAAAACGCTTGACAATCTACGCCCCCCGAGCCAACACGCCCCTAGCGTTGCCCCTGACGCACCTGCATTCATGTGCGCAGCTCTCCTTCCCCCCGAGGCCCCAGTCCTCCACGGCGGCCTCCACCTGGCGGGCTCCAGAAACCCTGAGCCCAAACAATGTTGGCATCTCTTTGGGGCGCATCTTACACTTCCACCGGCTTCCACCGGCCATCCGCTGGCGGAGCCGCCCTCGTTTTACTTGCGCCAGCTTCCGCCGACATTTCGCCAAGAAGAAACGCCGACTGCTTTGAGCCTCAAAGGCGAGGACCTTTCTAAAGCGCGCCACCTCGGCCACCGTGGTGCAGCACTCGTCGCAGAAGCCGCCTCTCACCAGAACGCGCGCCCAGGCCTCCACGGGGACAAGGCGGTCGCGCGCCAGGCCGGTGTCCTGCGGCGGGGCTCGGTGGCACCGAGAGTGGGCCGTCGAGGGCCAAGGGCTGGTTTTCGAGGAGCGGTTTTCGAGGATTCTAGATGCGATCTTCCAGGATAGAAGGATGGTCTTCGAGGGTAGGTTTTCGAGGTACGACAGAAGGTCTGCCTCCTCCTGCCCTCACGCTCTTCGTCCTCCTCGTCCTCGTCCTCGTCCTCGTCCTCCTCCTCCTCCTGCTCCTCCTCCTCCTCGTCCTCCTCCTCCTCTTCCTCCTCCACCTCCTCCTCCTCCTCCTCATCCTCCTCCTCCTCCTCCTCCTTCTCCCCTCCTTTTCTGAGGAGGTGAACGAGGAGGAGGAGGAGGAGAACGATGCAAACAGAGAAGAGGATGAGGACGAGGAGGGGGGGGAAACGACAACGAGGATCAAGGTGCAAACGTTCGGGGGGAGATGAGGGTAGGAGGGGCTCTCATCCTCCTCCCTCCTCCTTGTTTTCCTGGTGTTCCTCCTTTTCCTTGTCCTTTTCCTTTTCCTCCTCCTCCTCCTCCTCCTCCTCCTGCTCCTCCTCCCTCTCTTCCTCTCCTCCTCCTCCCTCCGCCTCCTCCCCTCTCCTCCCTCGTCCTCCTCCTCCTCCTTCTCCTCCTACTTTTCCTCCTCATCCTCCCCCTCCTCCTCTTGCACCTCATCTTCTCTCCTCCTCTCTCCTCCATCCTCCATCCTCCTCCTCGTCCTCGTCCTCCTCTCCCCCTCCTCCTCCTCCTCCTCCTCCTCCTCCTCCTCCTCCTCCTCCTCATCACCCTCATCACCATCCCTATCCGCATCCTAATCCTCATCCTCAACATCAGCATCCGCATCATCATCACTACCATCATCATCATCATCATCATCATCATCATCATCATCATCATCATCATCATCATCATCATCATCATCATCATCATCATCATCATCATCATCATCATCATCATCATCATCATCATCATCATCATCATCATCATCATCATCATCATCATCATCCATCCCCATCCCGCTCCAGCATTGCCTTTCCCCGCGTTCCTTTGCTTGCGCGCTTCCCCTAGCGGGTGCGCGCAGGCCGTTGTTGCTGTTCCTTTGTATGTGGTTGGTCTGTTAGTTGTCATTATGTATCTCTCGCTCTCTCTCTCTCTCTCTCTCTCTCTCTTCTCACTCTCTCTCTCTCTCCCCCCATATCTGCCTCTCTCCATCACTGTCTCTCTCTCTCTCTATGTGTGTGTCCCCCACTCTCTCTTTGTCTCCGCATCTTCACTCGAACACGGACTGCCAACGAGCATTTAACCATAACCTGTCTTTGATACTGAGAACTCAGGGCCGAAAAATCGCCGGGACTCTGTTCGACTACTCCTATCGGTGAGGAACAAGAACATGGGGGCATTCATCCTTGAGCTCGGTGAGAACCGTAGCTCCAGAAACGCCACAAGAAATACAACACCAAACGTTTAAACCTGACTGGCACTGCAAACTGCCAGTGGGATGGGCCCACCACCGCGCAACATGTACCGAAGCCCCCTCCCGAAGGGTGGAATAACCTCCCCCGGGAATCTGTTAATTCAAACACGGACTTGAACGCCAGGAAGCAAGGCTGTCGAGCGTGGCAGGCCCCCACAGAACGCGCTCATTTCTTACCACTCTCAGACAGATAGCGGCCAGTGTTGGAAACTGAAGCTTGCTTGGGCCATGGAGGCTGAGGAGGGGCCTCGTGCCTCGCAAAACGCCCGCCGCGTTGGTCATCTCGGTCTCCTTTTCCCAGCGCGTCGAGCGGAGCTCTCGGTATGCGATGGCGGACCGAACAGGCTGTCCTGCCATGTTGCAATATGCGCGCGCGTGTGGCATGATCAACGTTCGACCATTTCGGGTGCAATCCCGGCAGATGCGCCAGCAGGTCTATTACCCAAGATAAACGACTCTAGCTATACATATATATATATATATACATATATATATATAAGCAAAAAAAACAAAAAAACGTCGGGCACAGCCTTCCCGCAGAGGTGGGAGTTCACGAAGAGGACGCGAATGCGATGCTTACCCCTTCTTGGAACCTGCTCACCGATCAGCGCCCAGAGATCTGCTTCAGGGCCCGTCGAATTACGCAGGTTGTCCTGGTGCTGGCCGTCCAAAACTCCTGCGTCATCTGGCACGAAGGCCATCGCGCCCACGCTGACCTGGATGGCGATCCAGACTGCCGTAAGTTCGCCTCTCCCCACCACCTGGCGGCGTCCTTGAAGAGGCCCTTCGGCAGTGGCTCTCACGACAATTTATGACGGGCCACCCGTGGGAAACCGTGCGAACACCGAGCCTGCCCCCGCCCGTGTAAGGGTTGATGTAGACGACTCCTTTCCTGCACATGCATCGCCAATGAAAATGAAGAGGCTCGGCGGGTGAGCCTTGCCACAAATCCGAGAAAGGTCAATGGCCGCCCGAGTCAGTCCAGTCGCATTCGATACCTGGCGGCGCGGCTGCGGGCGATCTGCCAGCTGCTAGCCCCTGAGCCAAAAACGCTCGGCCGAGTCCCGCTGGGCGCGGGATTCTGGCGCTGCCTCGCATGACTCCAACGCGCCGTCGACACATGGCTGCCAGAGCACTTCAAGACCCTACCTACAAGTCGGGTCTCGCACCCCCCTCCGCACCTGGCGCAGACGCGGGGGCGGCGCCCTGGCCGTCGCTCGTTGCGTCGCGAGCGGGGCCGCGAAACCCCTGTCGCCACCGCCGACATGGGTTCTGCCATCCTCCTCCGGCGGGGCGGGTCCCGACGCTGCTCCGCGAATCGAATGCACGACGTCGCGTCCACTCCGTCATCGACTTCGCCTGCGCAATCGTGGCCCGCCGCCTTTGCGCGCCGCAGCTTGGCCTGATCGCCCTCGAACTCTGGAGCGGGCGCCATAGGCGCGCCGACCCCCCATGCTCCAAGAAGGCCTCGGGCGGGGAAATCCACTCGATGAAGTTGCCATCTGGGGCCGATGGCCCCGCCGCGGGCTCGGTCGAGCAGGGCCTCGAAGCCGTCTCGAGCGAATAGCGCGCGACTGCCTCACGGGCCCTCCAATGCGTCGTGATCGACGCCGCGGTTGCGCGGCGAGAACGCGCCCTCTTCTTCAGGCCGCGCCCATCTGATGGCTGCCCTGAAACTGCCCCCCCGCGCGCCCGCGCCCCGCAGCGCGGCGCTCGCGTAACTGACGCCATGTTTCCCCGGATCTGCCCGCAGCCCCTGCAGCGCCACAAGCGCTGTGAGCTACGCGCCTGATGATGATGCCCGGCACTTCGCCCCATCCCGCGGCGGAAGGCATCTGCGAAAAATCGCATCCGAACCCGCCAAGTCGCAACGCTAGTAGGCCACCCGAGCGCGCCTCGACGGCGAAGCCCGCTCGCGTCGGGCATGCGCTCGCAGAGCGCCGCTGATTTGACTGCCGCCAAATATCTCTGCTTTGCGCAACCTCGGCGCGTGCCGATGAGCTCCGGCAAACAATCGTTGGAAACTGCCCCTGAACTGTTGATGTTCTGAGTCAAGCCGCCGGCCGACATGCGGCATGTAAAAGATGGGCGTCTGGCTGCGATGACTCGAAGGACTGGGCGCAACATCGTCCCGCCAAAACGCACCAGACCTGAGACCTCGCGCAGCGCCCTGAAACGGACGCATTGACATTGCGCGCTGGTGCAACCGCTCTATGAAACTGCAAGATTCCGGTCTCGTCGGGTCGGTCTCGGGCCCCGCCTGCTACCGACCAGATTCCCACATAGTCCGCTTAGCGCGCGTGTATTTAATTTGCTCATTTCTTTTGCCGCGATGGCTTCTTCTAACCCTTTCGCACCTCGTCCACCTGCATGGTTGTTTCTTCCGCCAATTTGCTCTTCGCCTCGCTGCCGGTGCAATGGCTCAGGGAAGTCGCAAACGCCCTGTCTCAGAGCGCGAGGCGCCGGGCGCTGGAGGAGCTCAAAATGCAGCGTTGCCGGAGAAAGCCGACCTCGTGGGCTCATGCTATCAGGGGGTCGCATGATGCAACGCCACGCAGGCCCTTTGCATCAAATGTCAAATTTCCTATCGGCAGTGATAATCGATGAGCCGACTCTCAACCCAGCGCTCGCAGGAACGCCTCGCGGAGAGCGGCGTTCCCGAGGATGGCCGCGTTCTCTTCGGGGTCGTTCAGCTAAGCCCGCGCTGCAACGACTGCCTCGCGGCGCGTTGATCGAATCCGGGGAAGCTTTGCGCGGGCGCCGATGGCTCGATCTGTTGCGCGCAGCTGCTTCGGCACCACGTAGCCATCAATTGCGTTCGCTTCGGCCTGGGAAGCGCCGGATCCATCGCCTCGCAAACCGTGGCGAGTTCTCTGATGCCTGAGTCTGGGGCCCTCTCGAAATCCAACGGCGACAACCGGCGCGCTCTTTGGCCAATATTTGGTAGCATCCTTTTTGTGGCTGGTCTAACATTAAGCGGGCCCCAATCAGCCGTGGGCCCGTCCTGCTCCACATGCCTGACATGATTGAATGTTGCGTCAAAGTCGATGGGGCCCTCAGCTTCAGGCACCGAGCCGCCGCTCGCCGAGTTTGGGCCCGCGGTAGCTTCAATATTTCAAACATGTGTGCCTGATGATGTGATTCTCGGACTGAACAACGGCTCGTCTCTCGCACCTCTGCGCGACAATCTGGTTGCTTCTGGGCTGCCCACCCGCCCCGTGAAACGATAGAGCGGCGAATGCGCCGCCCCCCCCTGGGCTCGCCCACGGACTTTGCGCACTAGCAACTCAAAATCGCCAATCGGTTGGTCTGAGAAATCGCCCTGCGCGCGCAATGAGCGCTAAAGGCTTGCCCGCGCTGGTTCCGGGGGCCTCGGGGCCGCGGCGGCGTCGTCGGGCATCTCGTTGCGCGGCGCGACCAGGGCGCCATTGAGATCCCTGATCTGCTCGGCGCTATTATTCCGAAGCCTGCGGCGCGACGTGGATGCGATAATTGTGGCCGGCCGTAGGTGTTCGCGCTCGGCTTTGTGGAGTTC